AAAAAAAAAAAAAAAAAAAAAAAAAAAAAAGAATTCTTTTCAGTGTAAAAAAGCAGGGCTTCGCGAATGCAAGAAGGATGTAAGGATGGTGCATAAAAGCACGTTATATATATATAAACAAGCGCATGTAGAGGCACATGCCCACACAAAGGCGCACTCGAGCGCGGAGCAAAAAAAAAAAAAAAAGGGCAGCAAAGAAAAGAAATTGATCCCTAAACACAACATCCTTATGAAGACAACTCCTTCACAGCAATGATCTTCTCCTGTCCACATGCAGACAAAACACTCACTAACACAGACTTGCCGCTATCGAAAAGGGTACGAATTTGCTTAGCTACATCATCAGGGTTTCCATCAGAGTCCTTTGGTAAGCTTAAGTCATCCTTGGTCTCTCCGTTGTCGTACAGGAGAGACACAAAACCATCCTCCGTAATGTCAATCAGCTGCAACTCAGTCCTCTTCACCACAGGGACATCCATATTGTGAGAAGTCGGGCATATGTCTTCATATTTTTTTCCGGTGAAAATATCTATACCTACAATATGTGCCTTTGCATGACCATGCTTTCCTGTTTTGGATGTGGAATAATCAACCACTTTGCACGGATGCTCCTTTAGCATGACGTGTCCGTTTTTCTTAATGGCACCTGCCTGCACAGGGTATGTCTGGGATGCTCCTGCATCGATGTTGTCATATGTTTCGTGGTCTGACATTGTGTTTTAAAAAAAAAAGGGAAGAAAAGTGGGCGGTTCTTGTTTTTTTTTTTTTTTTTTTTGTGGGTTTAAAGAAAATAGGGATTCTTCTCCAACGGGGTTGTTACGGTACCTATATAGCCAAGTGTATATATAACATGTATGCATATGAATACATATATACATATATATACTTCTTAAGCGCGTTATTTTTAGGGTGGTTCAAAAAACAGTGGCGCCACAAAAAGGGAGAGGCAGAGGGGAAAGAGTTGACAAATGGAGTAACAAATTGGGGAAACGCAACAGCGCTAAAGTAAGCTAAAGGTTTAATACAATTACCACAAAGAATGAAAAATAAAAAGTAGCTAAAAAAAATGCATCTCTAACGAAAAACTCAGCGTAGCTTATTGAATATTTCTCTTTCGTGAAAACGTTTTATTTATTTTTTTTTTTTTTTCCTACTTGTTGTTTTGGCTTGCAAATGGCTTCAAATTTAATTCCTTATACTTATGGGAACAGTCAGTACAAAATGTATGTACGTATATATTTTTTATAATAATATGTTTGGCTTCAAATGATTTAAAATATAAAAGGAGAATGGCGTACAAAAGAAATTTGCATTTAGCGAATTCGTAGTGCCTCTTTTTTTTTTTTTTTTCTGCGTGCTGATTCGACTTCAAATACTATGGGATTGGGTTTTTTATTATAAATAACTGCTTGTGAAAATACCTTACGAGGTATGGGGTATGCGCGTTCAGGTTGCGTAAAATGTTTGTGTAAGGGTTAGCTCAAGTTAGGTAAAGAGTTCATATTGTTTTGCTTCGCAGCTTTACTAATTTTGGTAACTATATATTATTGTAACTATTCTTTGTAACCATTTTGGGGTAACTACTTTTTGCGTTGCGTTATTTTGCGTCGGTTATATGCTTCTTTTTTTTTTTTTTTTTTTTTTTTTTTTTTTTTTTTTTTTTTTTTTTTTTTTTTTTTTTTTTTTTTTTTGTTTTTTTTTTTTCGCCTCAGTTTCACTGCATTTCGATTGCCGAGAAAAAGCTAACTCCCGGCCGACCTGGAAAAAAATATTCATTGCGCGTTTTTGTTAAACAAGCACATAAACGGTTGCCTTATCTCCGTTTCCCGAGCCCGCTAGTGGGCATGTTCTATATGTTAGCCGGTGCCCATGTTTTATATTTGAACAAACTCACAAAAACCCAGCTCTTGGGTTCAGGCACCAAATGAAATGGTGAGGTTAAAAAGGCGTGAGGCATACCACAAAGGAAATAATTATGCACCTAGCATATAAATACGCGTAGCGCTCGTACACATTAAGGCATACAAAATACACTGTTGCGATGGGAAGGGAAAACGGATGCGTTACCTTACCCCTGCGACAGTCGGCCAAAACGAACCCAAAGAAAGAAAAACCCAAGCAGGGAACAGAAATTATTTTTTTCTTGGAGGCACTTTTTACGGCACTTATGAATGAGTATATTAGCGGTATAATAAACATACCATGCGTTCATGCATACACGGCGTTATGCAAAAAAGGGAGGCAATAATTTTGTTCACTACCAAGTAGCTATTTCGCCTTTTTCCACGAGGACGGAGCAGCAAAGTTAATATTTCCCTCCGTATGCAAAATATATAGCAGACTTCTATACCAATTTACAATTATGCCTTAATAAAAGTGTGCCTTCGTTTTGGGATTTTTTTGTACTTATGTGGTCAGGCTGGCAAGTCGTCTCTACTGAATGATGAGGGGGCATATACCGCCATTTGGAAAGCGCACAAAAGGCAGCGACGGTAAACAACAGTTCAACAATAGTTTAAACAATAGTTAAATAATAGTAGCAACTGGGAGGTGCCCAAGCAGGCGTTGTAATGTTGGCACGGACGGGGAAACTCTTTATAGGTCCCCCCGAAAATGAAGATACAAAATAGTTCATATGGTTCAACATTGCTGTGTATATTTTTTTTAACTCCATTTTTTCTTTTTGTTCGAAGCCTTCCTAAAAAAGCACACATTTTTATAGTAAGAAAAAGGGGCCCATTATTTGATGACGTGACCCCTACACACGGACCGGTGTATTCCCTCATCCCGTGTGGCACATATAAACAATATCGCGAAAACACCCCCATGTATAGTTCCTGTTCACGTATGTTCTCTTTTAAAGCCATTCGATGAAGGCATTCAAATGGAGTCACGTTTAATTTTGTCGTCCTTTAAAAAAGAAGGCCAAGGAGATGTTTTACACTCCATGTATGTCCAACGGGCAAAGGTTTAAGGAACACACATTTTTATGTTCCGCACAAGGCTGCTCGAGGAACGACACGGTTTATTCCTCAGTTAAACCCTCATGAAGTGAAACAAAAAAAAAAAAAAAAAAAAAAATATTTGCACACAATTTTACAGTTGGCTTATTAACCCCTGTAACGGATAACATTTTTGGAGTAAATTTTTTTTTTTTTTTTTTTTTTTCCAAAATGGCTAGCTATAAAAATTCGCTGAGATTGCTCGGAATTTTGTTCAAGGCATGGTTGTAATCTGAGGGGGTGCATATTCAAAGAAAAAAAAATGTATAAAATACAAACCAAACAATGCAACCAAAACGAAGCAACCACTTGACACCTCTCACTTTGTGACGCATGCAACAAATAAACTCCTTATTCTCTCTCCCTCAGCACCTGTCTCGACGAGGTTTCTGAGCACAGTTAGCAAGTACGTTGTGATGACCAACACTGAAGCGGTAAAAATAGGGAAAGGAAAAAGTGAATTTATATACAGGTGTCTACATATCGCCTTCACATATGTACACAAATGTGTACGCCATCTGTCACATCACGTTAAACTCAGCTCACTCACCCGAAAGTGAAAAAATTGTGCTCAGTGAGGAAAAATTTACTGAGCTAGGGATCATAAAAAATATGCTAGGGTCTGCATAGGGGGGGTAGCAACAACAGAATCAACTACTCTAGTGTTATGTACAAATGCATCTCTTGTTTAGCGTGTCCACTTTGCCGAGGAGAATTTTACTGCACGGTGAATGGTGAGTGCATGGGCACCCTGGTGACTGACCTATGGGATTCATCGCTTGGCTCGCTAAGCAATAAATCTGAGTGACAGACGCCGCGATGGGCAGCGCGCAAAGGAAGGACACGATGTATTTATCCAATTGGCTGAGCAGAAGGGGGGGAGCAAAATATAAAACGGAATGAATAATGCACCTTATGTGGCGTTTACCGCGATATGCACTTCCAGACGTGGTGGAAATAGTAAGCATGCGCCCACATGTGTGTACACAAAAACGCATGCATATTGTTCAAGATGCTATACACGCTGTACATGTGTACACTGTTCCCTGTGCACCCCTCTCCTCCTTACACGCTCTGTGAATTCTTCAACTCGCTGTCTTCAAAAACCCGGGGAAACAATTTCCTAATCATCCACGCCAACACGATAAGCACAATTAGGTGCACTGCCTTTAGGACCAAGTAATAGTTTCCCTTCAGTACTGTGCAATGGGGATGCAAAAAAAAAAAAAGGGAGCAGACATATGAAGGGGGTGCAACGCAAGGAGAGCAACACACCGAGATTAGAGGAGGTATCATGATGGGGAAGTCAGCTGCACAATTGAGTTTGCCTCAATGTAGGAACTGCAAGTCAAACCCTAATGAAAGATATTTTCTCGCACAAAACCCTTCTCAACTACTAACGTGACATGTACAGGTATCCACTGAACCCATAATCGAAAGCGTTTGCCTTGTCACCCCCGAAATGGGTTACAATGTCGTATACAAACTTGGACAGAACCTGCAGGTGGATAGAAAAAGGGGGTAGGTATGTCCCTACATTATACACACACGTATCAGTTTTGTTTTTGTGTGTGGGGGAGTGCAGTGAGACATACGGACGAATCCCATTTTGGGTGCCCATCATTTTACGAGACTAAACAGTATACCAAGGAAAATACATGGCGGGTAAAATTTGACAGCGATTTTATTGTGTAATCTGAGTAGACAAAATTGAAGGCGAAAACTGCAGCGGGGGAGGGGGAAGAACAAATAATTCTCTTTTGCGGTTGCACTTTTTGCTGCTCATCCTTGCAGCTCATCCTTGCCGCTGATCATTGGTGCATCCGCGCGCGCGTACCTGCGAACACCAGCGGCAGCGAGCAGACAAGCCCGACGCTCAAAATCCCGTTGGTCAAGAAAAACACCATCAGAAGGGTGAAGTACGCTGTAGAGGGAAAACGCACATGCAGTCCCCAACAGGGGTGCATTAGTAGGTAGCTAAACGTGCATGTAACACATATGTGTACCCTATGCTTCTTACTTGTATACACTGAACAGGTGTAATTCACACACCATGGTAATCACTTATTAGTAGTACTTACCACATATGGATGACAAGGTGAAGGTTGTCTGATTTCTTGTGTGGCCTAACAGAAGTCACAAAATGAAAAACGTTATGAACCCCTCTGTTGCTTTAACTGCCCTTGTGATGCTGCTCAGGAGAGTACGTGTGTCTCGGGGGGGGGTACTCACCGAATACGCCGACGTAAGCAAAGAGGGGCAAAAGAATAAGTAGCAGCAGAGACATGTACACCTTCATAATTCCGCTCGAAAACTTCGTAGGCAATGTAGCGGAAGGTGCATGTGTGCATATATGTATGCGGTTCATGTTCAGGCCCCCTCTCAGGGTGAGCATAGTTGGCAGCAGAATGAGGAAGCCTTTCCTCTTTGGCATCTAACGAACTCTCTAATGTGCTTCTTTTAAATTTACATAACACACGCGAAGTTTGAAAAGGTTCCGTATTACATATTTTTTTTTTTTTTTTTTTTTACTTATATAAAAAAGTTTACTTGATTAATCGAGTACGCCTTGTCCACCGTTTTGCTCCATATGTCTGCAAACGAGATGGAGAAAAATATAACCCTTTTAGCTTGCTCCCTTTTGTGCTTCCTCAAAGCAAGCACGAACAAAACTCAATGTCGAACCTGTTTTGTTTTGCGTTTGGGTAAATCTGGACTCATCGCTATGGACTATCCGGGACAGAAAGCTCGCCGACGGGGACGAGGCTGCTCAAAAGGGGGAAAAGCATTTTAGCGTTTTAGCAGTTTCGCCATTGAGCAGTTTTGTAGTTGGGCAGCTCCGTGTCCGCATCGCAAAACGGCCTCGTACAATATGTACAGGCAGCAGTGAGCCACGAAACCCGCCCTCCTTTAACCGAAAAAATACGTGAAGCTCCTAAACTCGTCGTCCAGGTACGCATCCTGCTTCTGAATGACTCCATCAACAACAGGTCTTTTTTTACAGAGGACAAGGAACAAAAATAGCACAATGGCTAGCACCTTCATCGTTGATGTTACGTTTTTTCGACTTGACAAGAGGGCGGGCACGCAACATGCACATATATATATAAGTATACTTATGTAAGTGGTGGTAACAGGAAAGGAGGATTATGGACAAGGATGATGCGCCCTCTCAAGTGGTGAAATCGATATAAAAAACAAACACATTGGGGGAAGCGACGCTCAGTTGGTAAACACAAAAACGGGTAAAGAAACATTTTTTCATTCCCTGCAAGTGGAGCCATCCAATGTAGACATGGTCCTACGACAATTTTTACGCAAATGCATGCTTGCGCCATGGGGCGCTACATTTGTACGTACATCACACGGGGGATTAAAAAAAAAATTAAAAAAATAAATAAATTAATTAAATGATCACAACGCTGTTCAACTGCACAACGGGTAAGTAAAACCCACCGCGCGGGAAGGCCCTACACCAAGTCGTCCTCCATGAGCGCCCGCCTTACGAGCTCAAACTTGGCACGCAGGCTGTGCGCAGACGTGTTGCTCAGGGTGCCCTTCCTCCTCTGCTTGTCGCACAACTCACACAGATCCTTCATCTCCGCCTGGAAGTGTGCAAAGTAGGAGGGCAAATCCACATCATTAATTTCTGCGCAATTTTCAACCCCCAATTTCCCTTTGTCAATGTACAGAGGGGCGCCATACCGGTCCTGGAAATCCCCATCAAAGCCATCATTACAACTTAAGATGATAGAATTGGAGTCTACCATAAAATTTAAAATATTCCTCAAGTCATTGTACACACACATCCTTTCGCATTCTTCTGTCACGTCCAAACAGAGATTCATTATGCGCGGCGACATGTACAAGGGGTAGGGAAAATTATTTTCTTCAACGTGTTGACTATAGTATAGTAAAAATAGGAGATAAATACAACCAGCTTGAAACCGAATAATGTCTGCTTCGTACTTTTGCATATATTTATTGTCATCTTTTTCAAATGTTTGTTTAAATATGTACTTCCATGCACACCATAATATTTTCCACACACATACATTCTGTTCATATCTTGACTTGGACAAAATTAAAGAAAAATTGGTTTCTCTAAATATGGATGCAAATAACAGTAGCCCGTTCTCACCATCCTTTCCTTCCTTATCTTTTATTTTACTACTTTTGCTCATCCACATGTGCAGCACATTTTCTATGTCTTCCACATTGCACTTGTACCTTCCTGGCAGTGCGAAAGGCACATAGTACTCCCCGCACAAATCTCCCACCCTCCGGACGTACTTTTCCTCGTTTACAAAGTCGATTGTGTACATGGTCTAGTGGGATGCACTTACATAGCTTGCACTTATGTGGCATTGAAAAAAAACAAGCACAATATTTATGTGCAGTCTTTGCGTGGCTCATCAAATGGATCCTTCGTCCCATCAGCTTTTTCCCCTGCAAAATTGGGTGAACTTTCCATTTCGTTCTTATCGCCACATGTGCAACCGCTACCCCTTCTTAATTGAATACTCAACTGGTCTCCCCCCAAACGTATTTGCGAAACTGCCTCAAAGGGTAGAAGATGCGTCCTATTATCTATCCCCAACTGTGTGTTATTTCTTTTTTTTTTT